TGCCCTTCCAACATGGCCCTTTCTCTTTACTTCTCAATGGCACAGTGTAACACGTTAAATGTAAATTGCTCTTGGATATTTTTTCAAAGAAATTTGACAGTATCATTTGATTTTGCTCTAACATAATCTAGAAACTGTTTCCAAGCAGTGGGACAAAGGGAATGTGAAGAAAATGTTATACAAAATTTCTTGTAGTTTGCTCCTTTCTTACAGTACTTACCATATTTTACTTAACAGCAGCAATCTTACCAGGTTCACACACTCAGATGTATCCAGTGATTACTTGAACTGTATAGGTTTCATACATTAGATGAGCCTTAGAATACTAATGCGGTATGCGTTACAATAATGCAGTAAATCCCAATTTGGTTTTGATTGCAGTAATCTGGAGTCAAATGTGCAAACCCTTGCTAATTTAAGTTGATTTTACCTTTATCGTTTTGCATACTACATGATCTAGAGCCACACAAACAAAAGCTTGTTTGGACTTACCGTGCTTTCCTTTTCAGAAAACAGAATTCTTTTTAATTAAAAACACTTTAAAAAAATCAGTATGTGTAATTGCTAACACCTGCTATGTGTTACTAACAGATGTTTCTTACTTACCTAAGGGAACTGTTATAATTACACCATAAGCTTATTGGAATGGCATTTCACCAAGATATTTTAGGAACTTTAGGTGGTGACTTTGTGCTCTTTTATTAATCTTTGCTCTCAAGAACTTTAAGTGAAGGAAAATTAAAGAAAAAAACAACAGAAAGGAATGGCAGACCTATTTACTTGCTGGCTCCCCTACCTCTTTCTGTCACAAATGGTTCACCAAAACTAACCTTTGGATGTTGTTGGATGTTGCTTGGATGCCTCCAAGCATCAAGGAGGGGAGGTTGCTTGTGTTGAACGATTGGTAGTGCTGGAACCTGGCATGAAAAGACCCAGGAATTGGGGGGCTATGAGTGGCTTTATAAGCCCTGTGACCAGGGCAGGATGAGGGCTACCAAGTGGCTGAGGGAGCTTAGCACATGTCCAGGGTGCCACAGAGCTTGGGTAAGTGATGTGGATTGTGGGAATGCCGCAGCTTTCCGCGTCTCCAGGCCTGACTGCAAAGCAAGACACGGTGCGGCTCCCTCCGCATCTTCATTTATGAAACTAATCACACAATTACCTGCAGGCATGTGTTAAATATGACACTGGTCTCTGCAAAATAATGGGCCAATTGCAAACAATGAATAAAGAGAGGCAGCTCCATTTATAACTGCTGTTTCAACAGAGCTGTGTTGTAATCAAAGTGATCTGAGGGTGACTCATTAATTAATTGATGTTCTTTTTTATTATGTGCTATTGAGTTAATGAGTAATTTGTGCTAGATAACTCTCTGAACACACTGATTACGTGAGATATTTTCTGCGGCTCTCATACCAATGACATGCTGAATAGGTGGAAGATGGTATTTGCTTATGTATACTCATTATTAGCAGGTTCAGGATGAATATAAATCAGGAGAAGGGCATTTTAAAAGGTATTAGATACATGCAACCCTTACTTTAAGGCTTTAAGTAGATATTCTTCAGCTTTTAATGCCTTAAATAGTATTAAAATCACTTCCTTTATAATACTTCTATCACCCACAATTGGCAGCTCCTAGAAAGGGTGCCTACACAAAAGACTTTTACTGGGAGCATGTTTCTGCTAATGGGCTATTACCTTGCTCATACTCTATTTTGGTTTCCTTTTGCTAAGTACTGAAGTGAACAGTAAACAGGTTTGGGCTGCATCATTGGGCTGAAGTAGAAATGTATTAAGTGAATATGTAATTGGCTTTTTTATCTAAAGTGGTATTTAAAAGAATAAAAACACTGTTCTTATATACAGTACACACTTTGCTTTCTGTATTTTGAGTTGTTAAAGCTTTTGCTTTATTGAAACCACAACATCTCCAATGCCATAGGAGTTTTTATTCATTAAACAACAAATGGCTAAATTGATAATTTAGTCTGACAAGAGCAGCACAGTTGAAGCTTTCAGAAGAATCAGCTAAATGTATAAAATTATACCCAGCAATCACTACAGACCTTCATTTTTTGACAAGATTTGTTCTAGGTACAGATGACTGTAAACTACCTACCGCTGAGAAAATTATAAGAAGCTGCTGTATATTATGATGAAAAAAAGGCCTTTAAAGCACTTTATGCAGGCTGAACCCTACCAATCCCTGTTTGTTTGTTTCTTTTCCCCACGATCTCACTTCTCACTGACCACTTTTCAATCTGTTTGGCTAAAGTCATTTGACATGTAAGCAACTAGGAACATTTGAGGAGTGCTGGGGGCATTTAATTTTCTATTTATTTTAGGTGAGCTTAAATTTGAACATTTGTGGGGGGTGAGAAGAATGCAGAAGGTGTGTATAAAGAAAACAGAAAACGTGTGATAAGCGAGATAGATAGAAATGCAATTTTGAAACAGATAACTTTTTAGCCCTGGTCACTGCTTCTGCAGCACCCAGACTGGCCTGATTCATCACCAGTTTTGGCAGATCATAGACACAGCAGGTTATGGTAGGTAGAGGAGCTTTCTACAATTGAAAATCAAGGCTTAGTAATTTGTACTTCACCAGGTGGCTTAAAAAACAGCAGCTTAAGAAAAATGGATTTATGAATGTGTTTTGGCTGGCTAAATTCATAGATTCATAGAGATAAAATACCCTAAAAGTAGGAGATACAGGCAGAAGCAAATAAGCCTACATGGAAAAATGGTCACTAGAGTAACCTTTTGCTGTATGCAGGCACAGCATGTTGAAACACATGGTGACAAAGAACAAAACCAAAAGTAGATTACTAAAAAGAACCCAAAGAAATGGTCTAGACTTCAGCTGAAAGGATCAGTAAAGCTGCCTGGCAAAAGATAACCTCTCTTTAATATTGTCTTAGAATATTCTACTCTGGTGGAGTTGTAAATGTTTCCATTTAGCATATTTTAACTCCCTGTTACTATTCTAAAAGCCAGACAAGATGGTAGATAGAAATGCAGGAAAATGTGTAATAGTTTTTTGACCTACTCCAAGCCTATTTTGTATCTTGTATATACTAATTTTAGATATGTATGTGCATTATATGTGCCCAAAGCAATGCCATACCACCCGTTTGCCACACTTGAAAGAAGCATAGCACCATTGCTTTCTCCTTACACCAATTAAGATGGATCAAAGGGTGAGGCAGTTTTTTCTTTATCCATACCAGGACCAGCCTTCTCTTCCCCATTGTGAGTATATATCACAAAATGCCCACATCCATGTACGAATAACAGTATATGTAATAACGAACCGTTATTTTCCCACTCCAGTTTGTTTACTCTATATAGAGTTGAGCAGTGGCACTTTGTGGTAATGAGAGAGCACTATAGAGTTTACAAGCACTAACAACGCTCTGTTGCCTTCATTCCCAGGAAAAACTCTCACAGCGTTTTGGTGCATTCCTTCTTCAGATCTGTGTCTCTCTATTGTGCATTTTAATGCTCTCCTTTCCCCAGAATGTCCTAACGCTACCAGTAATATTTGCATGCATAGCTCTCGGTTTCCTGACAAGCTGAAAATGCTTTACAAAAGCAGTGTATGTATTCACCCCATTTGATAGATGGGGGCAACTGAGGCACAGAGAAGTTAAGTGACTCGGCCAAGCTTGCAGCCAAAGTCAGTACCAAAGTTCTTCATTTCCTGTTCCTCAGCCCCATTTCTGAGCCAGGGATTTCCATCCAATCTCTAGTCTACTGGAGGAAACCACTGAAATAGCTCCTTCTAGCTTCCAGGTGTCTAACTGAAAGAAGGGCTGGGAAGAGAAAACTGAAACTGGAATCAAATTAAGATTTTTTTTTCTTTTCCCTCTTCTGGCCATCTTCATTTTCACAGAAGTTAAGCTTTCTGAGCCCCACTCATTTTTAAAAGACTTCATGACCAGATACAAAACAACACTGCAACAAGTCATTAGAGCTAAATATCCATTTTTGAATCAGTCCACAGTGAAACCATTCTCAAAACCACACACTGGTGGAACTGTTCCACTGCCTTGCAAAGTTTCTTTTCCCATTTGCAGGAAAAACATGGTGAAAATGCATAGGGGGAGAGGAAGAGTAGGTAAGGACTGCACTGAACTTCAAACACAGTCAAGTTCACGTGAGAGTTTTTATTCTAAATAAAACAAAGTGCTCATCTTCAGAACTGCTTAGGATATAGTGGGTCTGTGGGGTTTTTCATTTGTTTGTCTCGATGCAGGCTGTTCTCCTGCATTGATTATAGTGGCAAAGAATCAAATATGCATTTAGGAACTTTGTAAGCGTTCATCCTGCTTTCCTTTGCCAAACACCTGCAAGCTCTGCCAGGGGTGTGAGCACTGGGGTACACCTGGCTGATGCAGCAGTCTCATGGCAAAAGGACTGACTGCCCACAGTGACTGTCAGCAGTGACTCCCTTTTGCCAGAATGACTTTAATTGCCAGTGTGGATGGGACAAACCTGTAGGATATCACTACAGGAATCAGAGTACTTAACTAGTCGAATGTGGTAGCTCTCATCCTCTGCAATTTCAATGGTATGTCCCATCAACATGAGCATTTAAATTATCTTTAGTATTCACTGAGGTGGGTGTTTAGTGACCATTCACACTCTTAGTGTCAGCTCGGGGTGATTTCCTTCATGTGAGCAGACCCTTGGAGGGCACCTTCTAGTTCCACTTTTTTTTCCTCCAAAGTCTGTTTTGGATTTACTTTCAGGTAAATATCACACACATGTGTATATATAAATGTATTTATATATATGTATATATAGAACGAACAAGATATCCAGAGGCACTGGCTTGTATTAGGGCCTAATTTCCAGCTAAATTAAAAATCAAACCCAGGCATTTTGAATGCCCAGGGGGTATCAAAGCAGCACCCCAAGTCATTAACTCTTGCACCTTTTATAATATATCCCAGTCAAGATTTGTTTTTCAAAATTCTGTAGTAAAATAAAAGTGCTCTTTGAGGAAAATCTATGCAATTAAACAACAGATGCTTAACCCCTGAAAAATAGAGGCTTATAAGAGAAGGGCTGATAGACCTTTAACCATGGCGTCATTAGCAGCAGGTGCTGCTAGAGTTTTAATTTTTTTAAGTAATTTTAATGTAAACAGTATTCTTAAGCTCTAAGTGTAGCATAATGGTTGGGATTTGCTCTTTAATTCTTTTTACTAGAAAGATACAGCTCATTTAAAATAGCTGGTAGATACAGAAAGCATAAATATACAGTAAGTTTAGACACTGATTGTACTAAATGCAACAATACAAAGAAGCAAACAGGAACACAAATGGTAACACAATAAAACTGTATTACATTTGTGCTTCAAATATTACAATACATTATATACAGTAGTCCAAAATAAACATCTCATGCCAAATGACACAAAAAGAAACAAAAAACCAAACAAACCAAAAACCCCAATAGCAAGCAAAAAAGAATCCAGCGGTATGTACAGTGCCTTTTTAATTAACATTCAACTCTGAACTGGAGCAATTTTCACTACATACAGATGCAGTCCGCCTTTTATTTCACGCAACCATCCTGTCTCCCTATATCTACGCTATTCAGTAGGTTCTTGTGTCATTTCTTATATACACGTTGAGCAAAAAAGATAAAAGAACATAGTGCTTTGTATTCTTAGTGATGTGGCATTGGATCAGCGAACCTGGGGTGCATAACCTTCTTTCATTAAACCCTCCTCATAGTCTGTCTGGCACAGGATCATGTTGTTCTTCAGGAAAAATTTGTCTCCAACGCAAAATCTGAAATTATAAAAATAAGGGAAAAGAAAAAGTGGTTTTAGAATGAAATGTCATTTCTCTTACATTTAAGAGAATCATCTTACAATCATCTTACATTTAAGAACTGCTGCACAAGCATATTCACAGTTTTGTTGTATTGGCCATACAGCTCACACCTTTGCAGTCTGTTGCAGCACAAATACACGTGGGGCAGGGGAGCTGCTCCGGTATCAGAATTAATTCCCTGCTTTCAATAAAACCAGTGCATGCAACTGCTTTTGCTCTCTGAGCCAAAGATTTAATTCAAAGCCCACCGATGACTGTGGGAGTCTCGGATCAGGTCACTATCACATAGATAAAACAGAATAAATATCCAGGCCTACTGAGCTGAGCAAAAAGTAAATTTAGTGCTTTCTCACAAATCAGAAGGAAAACAAAGTAGAATACCCATCAGAGATACATGATGTTTATGGTGCACAAACACACTTACAAGATCATCATGCTATATTCGAGCTGAATATTTTACAAGGACTGATTTAATCCAGTGGTTCTGAGAATCAAAATATTCTTATCTAGTATACACACAACTTTACATATACGGCAGTGCACGTCCAGAGACCTATAGGCAGGTATGCAGGGAAAACAGTTTTGTCCTGGAGGAACTGGTTACAAATTTAGTTATTCAGCTAACTACTCTCTCTTCGGTGATATCAGTATACATACCTTGTTCTCCTATTATGTACTGCAGAATGATCTGATTGCTGCAAAATGATACTGAGTTATTTCACTTGATTTTCTCTTATGCTTTAAAAAACCCTCTTTAGTAGTTTTCACTCCTGACTGTCTGTTTTCAAACTTAGGCAGCATTTCCCAGCTACACAGTGTGTGTGTGTACAAATATAAGCAGCCTCATGCTGGACACTTCTTCCCCCCAGGCATTCCTTTGGACAAATCCAGGGATCTTTAAGGTATTTGGGGAAAAAGGGAATAGGGCCCAAGATAGAGAAAAACAGCAGCTTCCCTAATGATTGCTTTGGCAGGGTTACATTTCTTTGTTTACAGTGAACTCTCCAGCTATAAAATGTACTGGGAGGCTCTCCTCACATTACTCCAATTAAAATGAAAGAAAGTAACCTAAATGAACCCCTTAACACTGATGTGAATAAATGAAACCAGTTTCTACCAGCTAATTATGGCTCTCGCTACACGAAGCATTGTTTAATGTGTAACGGATTATAATGTCCCTTTTTTTTTTTGTATAATTTCCAAATGGTGACATCTTGGCCACAATTAGGGTCAGATATAAATGCTTGCGGTGTTTACGGTAGATTTAACAACAGGGAGGCCATGGGAATAGCTGTATATGTATTTAATTGTAACAATTTAACCTTCAAATAGCTGCGTCTGCTGCAGTTGACCCAGTAAAGCTACGCAAATTGCACAAGCTGACCCGGGCGACCTTTGATAGTGGTCCCTCTTTATCAGACAGTCGATTCCTAATGATGCTCGAGCAGAAATCTTGGCGAATTGTCACAGATTAAATTGTGTATTGAAAGCAGTCCTTTAATGTTTTGTGAAGTTAGAGGTTTAAATGAGTAGCAGTTGGACTGATTTACATTTGTGAAGATTGGAATGCTAGACAAACAGCGAGCCCATTTATTTTCCAACTGGGTAGCTTTGGAAATTTATCCTTATGCTAGCTAAATAGATAGAGGGAAAATAGTGTAATAAAAAAGTGGATTGAAAAGAATTAGCTTTGCTCTTAAAGGAAAATTGGTTTGTTTATTTGTGGACTTTTTTTATTTTTTTTCTGTAGGATTAATGCCTGCTGCTGATGATGATTGAAAATAGAGATTATGGAATGATCCTGAAATCTTTAAGTTATTTATGGTCAAGACTGCTTTATAGGATTTACAGGTTCCTTCTCCCCCTCCTGCCTCAGTCCTGGCATCCTAGGCTGCTAACAACCCAAAAGCATGCTATGTAAATGTGTTGAAATGAGGAATTCTTGCAAAAACAAGCTATTTGGGGCTTTCTCCAGTTCCCTGCTTTTGCATCTCCATTCATCAACTGCAATCCTGACTGAAATTGGTGTGTTTTTGCTAGATTAGGTACAGGAGTCTTAGCTAGTGCTAGTACATGAAAGCGATTTTCTCAAAGAAGGGACATTAAAATAAAAATCTTTTTTAGTTTCTATTAATTTAATACACTGATTGATACAGGCTGAATCAAGAGGAATTAGCCACTGTCACAAATCAGTCTCTCCATTGGAGCCACTGAGGGGCACTGAACCTGTGACATGTGGCCAGCAGTGCCATCGAGTGAGACAGGGGCTGCTGCCTGTCCCTGTGGTGGGGAAGAATTCCTTTATGATCCATGGTAACATAGACCTTAGCAGGATAATTTCTATAAATTGCAAAAAAAAAAAAACCCACACTGTATTTTTGCAACGCAAAATTCTGGTTGAAGGGTTTTGTTCCGCAGCCGTCAGAGAGGTGCCGTGGTTTGAATTAAACCTCACCACCTGCAGCAGGGAGCCGGGATGCCTTTCCCAATAAAAAATGCCAACGTGTTTCGCTTTGGCTGTGTTAATATGTTGTGCCAGAAATGCTCTACCTACGTCTACGTGGCGTTTGACAGCTCTATGCATGAGCAGCTGTAAACACGCGCAGTCCCACAAATCATTTACCTCCTGACCGTCTGGTGGTGGTACAGGCTGCCGGTGGCCTGTCTAGACACGCTCGCCTGTGCGATAACCTGTCGGGGAGCCCGTCTGTCTGCATGGCAAGACACCCTCCGTGCTCATCTGCGGCCATGGCCGCGCGCCGGGGGGCGAGCATCTGTGTCCGGGGGGGGAAACCTGTTACTTGTGCACTGCTTACGGTCCAAATCCTGCTCCCACGCTGCGGAAAAGCGGCAAAGACTGGAGGAGAGGCTCGTGTGTGCCCCTGAGTATTAAATGTGTGAATTATGCAGTCATTAGGTGACAAGGGAGCAAGCGCTGGGTGACAAAAGATGCTAAACGCAGCCCACTGGCTGCCGAGCACCACAGGAGAGGGCGGATGGATGGATGGATGGATGGATGGATGGATGGATGGATGGATGGATGAAAGGCAACAAATGCTGCCCATTCAGCACCATGCTTTGGACCGGGCTCTCCGAAGCGGACTTGGCCCTTTCCAAGGTCAAAATGGTAAATTTTGCAACTTCCTCAGTTTGGTTTTACACATCTAAAGATTGGCTGGATCAGAAGCAGATCCACCAGAAATTCAAGCTTTGCCTCCCATCCTCTGCAAGAATGTTTTTCAGTGGATTTACAAGGGTGTAAATCAGGGCACAATTGGGCACATATATCAAACGGAATCAAGGAGGACAGTGAGATGAATATTGATCTTTGGTGCAAAAGCAAAGCTTTCCCATATTCAAATGGCAATTGGGTTAGCAGTATATAATGAGGCAAGACGATTACTTCTCTAGCAGACAGATGGTAGTCTTCAGCCTTTTCTTCCTTAAAACCCGCACTCAGTTTAATTTATTTAATAGGCATACAAGATGAGCAGGAAAAAATATACAATAGGCTGCATTAACATGCCAGATTGGACTTACTACCATAAATTGATGGTACTACTTTTGACGTGACTGTGACATTAGTAGAATGGCCATTATAATTAACCTATATCCTAGAACTCCTGTCATGTTTTAAAATGGCAAAAGGAAGGCCATTTATATTACAAAATGACCTCTGTTATCATCTTGTTTGGAAGAGGAAGGTGTGCCTAGCCTAATCACGAATAGTATGAAACTTCTGTTTTAAGAAATAGCTACTTTCTTTTTTGCTCAGAGGAGAGATTTAAGGAGATCTTTCTGCTGTCTGTCACTTCTGACATACAGGATGCATGTCAAAGTACTGAAGACTTCCTTAGAAACTGAGTGAAAAATTGCTGTGAACAAAGATTGCGGCGTGTGAAGTGCTTCCTTTGGTAATGTCAGGGCTTTGTTGTAACAGAAAGGCACAAACAAAATATGGACACATTTAATTGTTTTCTTTTAGTAAAGAAAGCACAGACTTACTCCATCCCCACCCTCCCTCTTTATATTTTTTTTTCAGTTCCATCAGGTATGTAACTTGTCCTTTCCTTTCCTTTCCTTTCCTTTCCTTTCCTTTCCTTTCCTTTCCTTTCCTTTCCTTTCCTTTCCTTTCCTTTCCTTTCCTTTCCTTTCCTT